CGTATTCTGCAGAATATTTTCATGCTAATGTGTGAAAGAGGAAGTAATCGATTCAATGTGTCTTAATCTCTTTTTCCACCAGTTCTTCCCTTACGGCGATGCATCTAAGTTCGCCCAACATGCCTTCAGGACCTTCGACAAGAACGGTGACGGCACCATCGACTTCAGAGAGTTCATCTGCGCCTTGTCCATCACATCACGGGGCAGCTTCGAGCAGAAGCTCAACTGGGCCTTCAACATGTATGACCTGGACGGAGACGGCAAAATAACGCGGGTGGAGATGCTGGAGATCATTGAGGTATCCGTACTAAAACTATTGCACAACAGAAAGTATTGTTTATTGATTTTTTTCTTAAACATACAACCCTTTTTAAATCAGCGGCGGTGCGATGGAGGAAACTGAACCAGAAAGCTGAACATCCACATCCTGTTTATGCACTGGGAACGTCAGCCTGCAGCTCACTGCTACAGGAAGTTAAAAGCAATAAGCAGCTTTGTTTAATATGAGGCAAAGACTCAGGAAATCTTTTATCAGATTCTGTTCATATTGATTGTTTTCTTTGATGAGGATGTTGTGATCATTTAGCTTTATGAGACACAAACTCCTGAGGAGGCTATCAGTGGATTGCTGATCAGATCCATACTGTGTGGACATGTGTTGTTGCAAAAAGATATCAACTATTCTCCACAGGCATTTCCAAACTACAGCCTTTCATCGACCACATGATGGCGCTCCATTTCTGAGATTGGAAACAGAGCCAAAAATATCTGTTTATGAAAAATGGTGGAATTCGAATTCATGGGCTGCATCATCCAAGGACTCGGTCCATCTGGACTGGATCCTTTAAAGTTTGTGAAAATAAGGAGACCAGAAGAGTAAATTCTGAACAAAGACTGCACTCATGAGAATAAAGAGTGGAATAAAGGTGACAACCACTGGGAGCGTGAACAAATAAAAGCCAGTGTAATAATACGAAAGGGGTAGAAAGATATAAGTTAATCTAAACAGTATATGTATAAAAAATATATCTGCAAAATCTCATATTCAACAACAAAAAATACTTAGTTAAGCATATTGTGTAAAATAGCAAATGAAAAATAAAAATCCTATCAGATTTAAGTCCCCATCCTGCAGATATATTAGAATCTGTCCTTAAATTACAGCCAAACCCATTTACACAGATAAAATCCTTTAGATAAATCAAATATTACTCGCCACATATCTGACTCACTAACCATTTAAAAAAATTATTTTCATTCATTTCAGAATGAACTATTCACTTACTTGTATTATATTAAACTGAACTTCCAATATTCACCACTGTTTAGCGCCAAGTACCATTTTCCTCTGATCATGGAGCAGGAGGCTTCCTTGGTCTCGCAATGAATCCTGGGATACCCAAGGCGAGATAGGATACACCGGACCTGTCCTTTAAATCAGGCAAAGAGAAGGACGCATTTGTAGGCCGCATAGTGAAGAGTCTTGGAATCCAACCAGATCTCAGCGCAGCGCTATGACGTAATCGGCCTACGAATCTGGCCTTCTGAGGACGCAGCCCATGAATTCAAATTCAGCCTTAATGACTCCAGCTTGTTCTTTCATGTCCAGAATAAAGTGACTCCCTCAACAAGGAGGGCAGAAGGGGAAAGCTAAAGATACAGCAATATTTATAGAAAGTTGAGTGGAAGCATAAAGGAAAAATCAATCCTCAATCATTTATTTAAATCTATTTTATGAAACATTTCTTCAGACATTTAGTTTTGGATTATGACCTGTAAGACAAAATTAGCAAAATTAAAAGAAATAAAGGCTTGGAATATTTACTATGTTTAATGAATCCATCCAATACATAAAGTTTCACTTTCTGAAGAAAAAAAAATACATTTAATTTTTCCACGAAACTTAAATTGTTTTGAATGTATCTGCAGCATTATTATTTTTCATCATTTCATTAAGTCAGGCACAAACACAGGATTTTCTAGAGACTAAGCCTTGAACCATCTACAATCATCAATTTTCTGTCACGCGTTATCCTAGCTGTGGTCGTGAGGGCTGCTGGTGCCTATAATCCAGCTGTTTACGGGCGAGAGGTGGGGAACACCCTGGACAGGTCGTCAGTCTATCGCAGGGCAAACAACACATTCACACTCGAGTAGAATTTAGAGAGCCTCCCACAGTCATGTTTTTGGACTGTGGGAGGAAGCTGGAGTACCTGGAGAGAACCCACGCACGCTCAGGGAGAACATGCAAACTCCATGCAGAAAGAAGACCCCAGGCCAAGAATCGAACCTAGAACCTTCTTGCTGCAAGCAGCAGTGCTACCCACTGCCTCACTGAGCAGCCCTCTGCACCCAGCAAATTAAAAAATAAAATTCATATATTTTGGTGCTTGTTGGTCCAGCTTTATGACTATTTTTTTTCTGTGTGTTTCCTCCTGATAGGCAATCTACAAGATGGTTGGCACAGTGATCATGATGAAAATGAACGAGGACGGCCTGACGCCCGAGCAGAGGGTGGACAAGATCTTCTCCAAGATGGATAAGAACAACGACGACCAGATCACGCTGGAGGAGTTCAAAGAGGCGGCCAAGAGCGACCCGTCCATCGTATTACTGCTGCAGTGTGACCTCCAGAAATAGGCCGGGACGCAGCAGAGAGCGCTCCACCAGCCACCACGGACTGCACAGAAAGAATTTCATGTTCCATTCAGTTTGCAGCTATTTCCACTGAAAAAAAAAGATAATAATAATATATGCTTGGACTACCTTTCAATGGATCTGCTTCTTGTGTTTGAAACACTCGTGTGCATGAGAATTTTATTTGCTATAAAAACATCTACACATGGTATTCAGCAGTGTGCGGGGGGGGGCACACTCAACGCCACACATCCAACACCTGCAAACACACACAACTCTACATATAAACAACTTACACAATCAATACATATATATGAAGAAATATAAATATGAAGATATATATTAAAATTATTTATAGACCAACTGCCAAAATGTGAAGTGTGCAAAGTACTTTCCTTTCAGTTTACCTCTACTGAAGCTTGCGCATCAGTGATGTGCTAACGTTGAACTTGCCGCTACTCTATTTATTGTTCCGATGCTAGCTGTGTGTGTTTTCACGATACCGTCAAAGCGAACCAAATTCCTACAACCATGTACCGTCCTTCGTAAAAACACTCCACCCGTCTTTTCTTATATTAGCTCTAAGCGGGGTGGATTAGCGTCCGCTCGACTTCTACCGCCGAAACGAGCCTGTTCTGTCCGTAAATACGATGTTATTCATTTGCATGCCTTTAGGTTCTGCCTTAAAAGTCTCGTTTCCTTTCGGTGATTGAAGACAGAAAGCCTTACAACGCAGTGACTCTCTAGGGAAAGCGTTTTTCTCTGAGCGGAGGGAAAATGAAGCAGCCTTATACGGGGCTGTGAGCTTTGCGATGGGTTGAGACGCTTTCCTTGGATTGCTTTACCTGTGGGAGCATGTTTCTGTGTAGATTAGCTGTGCTGTATGTTGAACTGAATCCCCCGCCCAACGCATTTAAAACGCGCTATTTCATTTCTAGTTGGCTGAAGCAGTGATGAAGACAGCGCCATTTTGGAAGAACCATAAAGAGTGCTACATTTGCAGATCTTTGAGGCAAACCCCATGAAAGAAAGTGATTTTAAATGGATGAGCTGAAGATAAATAGGGAAAAAAACTGTAATTCATAAAGAGCTTTTTTTTTTTATCAGGATTTTTCATTATGGTTGCATATCTTTGAAATAAATTTGGAGTGTTTGAGCGTGGAAGTTACCCAGAGATGAGGTTTCTGTGATGAGATTAGAGATTAGCAGTAGGTGTCATTCCATCACATGCTGTTAGCCCTTAAGGTAAAACCTAGCGTTTAGTAGGTTTATACAATTTGCCCTCCTCAGTCCCTCCATGTTTCTTTTAACAGTCAGTCCGATTTTTGTACGTTTTGTTTTACTCTCTTTAGTTTCACACTTTTCACAAAATAAAAAAAAATTAATTGATGTTGTACCGCCTAAAAAAGACGTGAATATCTGCCCTCCAATGTATTCCACACTTTAATTCTAGGGTCAACAGAAGAATGAAAGAGATTTGGCGAAAAGTGCAGCAAAAATAAAAAAAAAGTTGGTCCAGCGTCATTTCAGCAGTTGGGATTATCTCCTGTAAAATGACCACTCTAAAACTTTACATTAACACCTTCAGCTTCATGATTCTAACCACAACCCAGTGTCTGCTGTAAGGATACCAAACGGAAGAAATGTCAAAAGTGTAAAAAGATTTTTTGTAACATGTATTGTCTCCGTGACGACATGGCTGCACTACTCCCTGTGTTGTGATTTACTCTAATAAAATAAACTCTATGGGCTTCTGTCTGCTCTGATGACTCAACAAACCATTTTATCGACCAACTTCCAGGGTTCATATGCAGTTCTGGAAAAGCCTAGAAAATTTTTAGGTTTTCCATATTATTTCCATTTACCATTTTCTAAATAACAAAGCCTTGATAACGCTCAATATGCAGTAGTTTTCACTTGGATTTATTCATTTGGTCTGCATGATCTTTGATTCGTCACATCTTTAACACTTTACCCTCAGTATTTACCTGTTGAATTAAGAGCCATGCTATGAATAACACTAAACTCTTAACATTAAAAAGTGAAAATCTGAAAAAAGAAAATCAGTGATCTGTTGGTGCAAATGTTTTTAAGATTTACAGGTAGAGGTATCAAAACAATATATGTAGAAAATCATTTCTAAGAGCGGATGTACCGTTGACCCAAAATCAGCTTCTTTGAGCGTGTTCTCATTCACTCATGGAGATCACCATGGCGACTGCATCACAACCAACCAGATCAGGCAGATCGTTAAATGACCCACTAACCATATGCTATATACTGAATCTTTTGACCACCTGGGTTTATACAGAGGACAATATCTAAATGAGATTATATGAAGAGTGAAAATATGGAGACAGTACTTTTAGAAATGGTAGCATTTATTTTACAGAACAATTTGACTTTACATGAGAGGTTCATTTCCAGGATGCTTCTTCCCAGAATAAGGACTGGGATAAACAGAACTTTCTGCCAAACAGAATGGATCAAAACAAAAAGGTTTACATCACAAAAGTCTTTGAAGAGTTTGGCCTGTTTTTCTCTGACTTCAACTTAAAGAAGGCCAATTCTGGCTGACTCATATACTTAACAAAACAGAAAAAAATTAAAATAAAAAAAGCATAAAATGTCATCATAAACAACTATCAATTATTTAATCAAAACCATAAACGACTCCAACGATGTTGTTTTTTTTTTTTTTTTTTTTTTTACAAATAGAGAGTTAAAAGATAAAAACCTGACATAAACTACTTTGGGGGGTCTGTGTTGATCCCATATTTCTCTTTCAAAAGCTTCAGTTGCTCCTCTTTCTTCTTTGTGTCCATTTTCTGGAAGGCCTGCAAAACAACAATACAGAAAGTAAAATTTAATGCAGCAGATTATTTTATTCTTGTTTCAATCAAACACATGCCTTCGTTTGGGAAACAGACATTCTGAGTTTGTGCGTTCTGAGCTGCGAATACGTACTCTGTTTGCATTGTAGTAAAGCACCACCAGGTAACGATTGCAGACGTTGAAGCCTGACAGGTGGTCACAGGCATTTTTGGCATCAAAGATATCTTCATACACAACATAAGCTGTTCCTCTGGTTTCAGGTGTGTTCCCTCTGACAAGAAAAAAAACAGAAAAGACAAGCGGTGAACAGCAGATCGATCAACGCAGGTTCACTATTGTCTAAAGCTAAATTTTGATTATTATTTAAAAGCAAAGAACATCAAGCTCTAAACAACTGACATTATTTGTGTAATAAGTACACAGATAGATCTTTAAATACATTATTTTATTCCCAACTTAAATGCCTCAGAAAACCATTGAATCTTTCAACACAAGTCATTTCCGTACATTCTCAGAAATCCAACATGGCGCTAGAATTCGTTAATCGAATCGGAGCTTAGCAGTCGTCCTATCTAAACTACCCGACATTTAGGGATATTTTCAAGCTGAACTTACGTTCGGATCTGTCGTATTGGTCCATATTTCCCAAAGATATCGTACATCTCCTCAGCTGTAATCTTATAAGGAAGATTCCTGATGTAGAGGATTCTGTTCACCTCAGGAGGTAATCGGATCTGCAGAAAGAAGAAAACAAACGTAACAAATTACAGAGGATACAACAAAACTCAGAGAACCTGGGGTATCTCAGATTATTTATGTCTTCTAAGACCTCTTTTAGAACCTCTGATCAGTGTAACTCCACCATGTTTTCTTAACACTCAACAAGTTTCAATTCAAAACCTGTTGCTAGTGTAAGATGGCTCTAAGTTGGCAGATTTCAGTATCAATGACTTGTTTAAAACTACTCTCACTCTCAGGCATCTAGAAAAGAGGCAGGCGCTAATTATATTTATCGTGTTTGAGGCTTTCAAACAACAAATTAATCATGTAGGAAAGGGAGTTGTCAATTACTACATAAATTTAGATATTTAACCATCAAAAGAAATAAAATGACTTCTTTGGGGAGGGCTTCATTGGATACCAGAGGAACGAAGTACAACTGCTCTTTTTCAATCAACTTTTTTCTCACTTAGGTTTCATAACAGAAATAAAAATAATGTACATTACTTCCAAAAAAATTCAACCAGCCCCTCTGGAAGGTGACCCAAGACCCAATTTAAAGGGCAACAAAATTCAAGCTGTGAAAATTCTTGTACAACAACGTTTCACAACAATCAAAATATAAAAAAAAATCTACATGTTTGCAGGTTGCTGTGTTACAATCAGCTAGTTTATCAGTCAATAGTAGAAATCTAAGATTAAGAGTGATGAGCTGATCTCACCATGAGCTGTGCAAGCCCAGAAAGTGCAATAATGAAAAAAATAAAAAATACAATCCAGATTTTACACAATAAAATATATAAACAGAACAAATGTGATTAATGGATTTGATTGTTAGATCACCCAACTCCATTTGGGAGGTTGTTGAAAATCTTGGTTGTAAAACGGGTGTACATTATAATATCAGGTGCTAATGACTTTAAAAATCCACTCTGATTAAAACAGAAGATAATATATATTTTCACGAATAAGATTTTAAACTCTTTATAGTCAAAATATTATTATTGGTGTGGGTTGGTTTTCTATTGCAGTAGCGTAACGTATTTTTAAAATGTAAGGGGTTATAGTGACACTGTGAAGCATATCTGAAGTGTAGTATTTAATCTATTTTTTTGTAAACAGTAAAACTCCAGTATACTCTTGTTTGAGTAATCATATCAATGAGCATCACTTTTAATCCAACCGTTTGTGCCACTAGAAATATGACCACCCTAAAATACACATTACAAATCCAAAGTCTTCGCACACAATCACGTTTATGAGGATGTCAACATGAACAAGAATAGCAGTTTTAGCTTGCTTTTCTTGTGTTGCTACGTAAACAGTATGCTAATAATAACTCTCCCTGTTTGGGAGGACGTTGTGCCTCACAAACAAAAGAATTACCAGCATTCTATGATACTAAATAGTTAATACATAGTTTATTATCAAAGCACTGTACACAGAATATAAAATAAATAACTTTATGAGTTACTTCAAAGCGTAAAGTGGTTATTCTAAGACGCACCAGATAGCCAGCTAACAGCTAGCCGCATGCTAACCCGAACATTATGTTGTATTTGAAATTAATTCGTCCAATATTTATCGTCATTTATATACGTTAACTTACGTTAGCGCGTTTGGCTGCCTGCATAGCCATGATGACGGTTTAGTTTGATTACAAAACGTGAAGAAACAATAAGCACGCAGTGGCCTTTTCCAATCGCCGTCAAAATGGAAACAGTCGCCAGCTAGTGACAAACTTCCGGTTTAGAATTTACAGGTTAATAATGGCAGTGCTGCCCCCTCGTGGTGCACAGACGAAACACACATAACATAATTTATTTGAACAATCGAAAACTACAGTTAAATCATGTTTTTGCTTAGCACACCTTTCGATAAGAAAAATTATAATGACATAAAAATACGCAGATCATTTGTTTGTTGTGAATATTACATATTCTTTATAGAAAGCGTCTAAATTGTAAAACATTCAAAGTGTTTTAGGGATGTATATAATAATTACAGTGTTTCAGTATTTTATAAAGTCTGATCAAACCACCAGTGTGGTTTATCTGCACAGCAAAACAGCCTTAAACAAACCAACTCAGTGTTTGAAGACAAATGGCTCATGTGTTAGATTGATCATGAATTATTATTTAATATAACACAAACAAATAAAAATAAATAGCAAAATAACACTTTTAAGATAATATTTAATAAAAACATGATTTCTGTCATATCTTTTTTATTTACTTATGTTTAAATAAAAGTGAAAAGTAATAAAAATTTTTTTATCTCAATTGCAAGTTTAAAGACTTTGTTTCTTTTTTTTTTTTCTAAGTAAATAATCTCTGATATGTCCCAAAAAATCCACTGGATCACAATTTCTTGAAAAGCTGTTTAGCTGGGAATTTATTTCTGCAAAGGTCTACCAGGAACTGCTCTTAAGTGGCTTATGTTTGTCAAAATGTGCTTTAAATTGGGAAAAAAAAGTAGAAAAAGCTCATGATTACGTCATATTTTTATTCCATCAAATGTTTAAAAAGTTATATTATCACACATACAATATTTACCAAATTAAAAGTCTAATATGATCTTATAATATCAAATATTACTTGTAAAACTAATTATTGTATTATTTGATTAAATTAAGCTAATCAGAAATCATAAAATAAGAATTATTGCATCATATATATATATATTTTAGTTTATTTATTTAGAATATATATATCTATTATATTTGTTTCCAAAGGTATTCAATTTATATTTAGTTTTTAAAAAATCTACTCTTGTGGCAGAGATACTCTTGTATTTTTTTAATTAATATATTTAAAAATAATAAAATAAAAAAGAGATACTCTTGTATTTTTTAATAAATATATAAAAAAGATACTCTTGTATTTTTTAAATAAATATATTTTAAAATAATAAAATAAAAAAGAGCCTCTTGTATTTTTTTATATTTAATTTATTAAATTAATTTATTATATATTTAAAAATAATAATAAAATAAAAAAAGAGATACTCTTGTAAAGTTATTTTTTTTTAAACCAAAAATGAATTTATATATATATATATATATATATATATATATATATATATATATATATATATATATATATATATATATATATATATATATATATATATATATATATATATATATATATATATTTGATCAGTATCTCAAACCGAACGGTTATAAAACCAAATAGGCGCGTTTAATGAACTTTTATTGGCATTTCCGGGTCACGCAGTTAGGAAAAAAAAAAAAAGATCAAACCGTTGAGCACGCGGCAGCGCGGGTTCTTGCTAGCGATCCGTAGCTAACGGCTGTATGGAGTCAAGTTGTGTTAATTGAACTAAAATCTCGTTAAAGCAGCTAAAGTTTTCCTGTGAAAACAAAGAGCGAGTCAGGCGGGGAGACTGCGCGCTTGGATCGACGTTTGAAGCGAGAAAACGGCGGAAAGTTTGGGCGGTAGAGGAGAAGGTTGCTAGCAGCAGGTCTGGAGAGGAAACCTGAGGCGCCTTGCTGGTGAGTTACCGTCATGGCGCCTGTTCAAATAATAAGATAAATTTACAGGAAATAATAATATAATAATATGTCGGAGCAGCTAATTTACTATAAATGTCATTGCTACCGGGCTGACCGTTAATCACCTGACTGTTGTGTTAACGGTCGTTGCATTTGGCGACCTAGCTAAGCTGCTACTTTAATTATATCTATAAAACCATGATTATTGTTCACTAATTAATCCTAGTTCCATAAGAAATGTTTTTAATTTATACAAATGTCGATGTATGACAGGGCTGGGAGATTTAGAATAGAATTATTTCCCACTATGGGGAAATTCTGGAGTTAAAAAGCAAACAGATTATAGAAAATATGGTCACACAAATGTGGACCTTAGAAAAGTGTAAAAAACAACAACTAATGAGTAAAAAAAAGAAAATAATGTGTAACATTATATAACTGTGCAACTGGACAATAAATAACCAATATACAGCAATGGATATTTTTTACAGTAATGGATATTTGTCAATAGCAGCAACATCAGAGATGTGCAAAATGACAGCAGCATGTTATTTAATTGACTACGGTAGAAACTTTGCAAAATCAGCACCATTGTAACAACTTATTGATGTTGTTAGGAGCAGCAGCGGTGTTTATAAAGTCTTCCAGCTGCTGGGAGGAAGGATCTGTGATAACTCTCCCTGGTGCATTTAGGGAGCAGCAGTCTGTCACTGAAGGAGCTCTTCAGTTCTGCAGCTTCATGCATGGGGTGGGAGACATTCTCTAACAGAGATGTTAATATATTTAGGATCCTTTTGTTTCCCACCTCCTGCACTGAGTCCAGAGAGCATCCAATCACAGAGCTGGCCTTCCTGATCAGCTTATCCTGCCGCTTTCTCTCAGCTTAAAAATAAAACTTCCAAACCAATTAATTGACCTCCTCCCACCGTACATATAAATGATAGAAATATGCTCTCAACAACTATCTTTATAATATTTTTTCTGTAAGCTGACCTGAATTTAAAATGACACAAAATCCAAGAGTTGAAAAAAGTTGGCAGGCCTTACTGTAAAAAAAAAAAAAAAAAAAAAAAAAAAAAAAAAAAAAAAAAAGCAGCCAGTGGTTTTATACAGTGATCTCGTTTGCCACTTAGAAGTACAAAAACAAATGAACTTTTTTTTACTGTGAACCAAGGGTGTAACTTGGTGATGAATGTTGGTGGGGAGGCTCTAAGGGTGGTGGCAGTTACATGACCTGAACAATTTCATTGAGATTTATTGAATGCTTTCCTTTGCTGAGTTGTAATTTAAGGGCTGCTTGTAACTCTCACAACCCAATCCGTTCCCTCGGCTCATTTATGCATGCACAACCAGATATGCTGGAGGTTTCTTCCTGTTAAAAGGGAGTTTTTCCTCTCCACTGTCGCTACAAGCATGCTTAGTGTGAGGGATTGCATTCAAGTCAATGAGTCGATGCAATCAACTGATTTTCCTAAAATGGAAAACTTAATCATGAATCGATTTGACTGTAGGATCTGGTGAACTGTAAAGTGCCTTGAGATGACGTGTTTTGAATTGGCGCTAAATAAACGGAATTAACTTGAATTAGATATACATCCGGTTTTCCAAAACCAATTTAATTATGGTATAAAAATTACTTATTTATGTCCTTAACGTACTAAAGAATGCTATTACATTTCTTTAAAAAATTTTTTTGACTTTTCTGAGACAATTTTTAAAGCTTTTTACATTTTCTCTGTTAAACTGCTTGTCTGACATCATCATCGGACATGCTCAGAGTAGTCTGGCAAAATATAATAATTAGGGGTGTAAATCACATCCATCATAGCGATTCGATTCAGTATCGATTTCCTGACCCAACGATTCGATTATTTTTGATACTCAAGAATACACCACGATTCGATTCGATTAAACGATTAATCGGTTAATTTTTTTTTATTATAATTTTTTTACACCTTACAGGCTAAACAAAGTTTCAAGTTTGAAATAAATCAATGAAAGCTGTAATATCGTTATGCATTTTTTTTTAGAAACAACAGCAAATAACAGAAGTAGAAAAGTTTCATCAAAAAATACTGCACATAATCAGTGCAATGAGTTCAATGCAATACCTCGGCTCCAGAGTGTCGACGTCCCCGCCCCCTTGAGAGACGCTCCGCTGCTCCTCTCCCAAATTGTAACTGACTGCAAATAGTGCCGCAGAGGCCGGCTTGTTTTGTTTTTATGACCGAAATTGCGGAAAACAACTCGTGAAGTTTGACCCGCTAGAAGAGCGAGGTGAGCGAGAACGCTGGGACCCTTTTTCCACCTGGATCTCCGCTCTTTTTGGCCCTCATGTCCCTCCATCGGCAGACTAAACTCGCCCCCACTTCCTCGCCGCCTCGGCCGTATCTAGACCCACAGTGTGTAGCTCAGACCACGCTTCAATATTGAGCATAATTTAAAAATGTCTGTGTCAAGCTTACTGCAACACACTGCTGTAAGAGTATAACCAGGAAGCGAGGTAGGAGGGCAAAATAGGTTTAGCACCACCGCAGCACGGGAGGGAGAATTACGCCCAGGAGCAAATGGATAAAAATAGAACAGAGGAAAAAAAAAACATGAATCGATTAACTTGCGGACATGTCAATTCATCGGATCGTCGGCTGTTGGATCGATGCATCGATACAAAACGATTATTATTTACACCCCTAATATTAATATTAAATAATAATAATAAATAATAATGTAAAATTTATTTTTTCATTCTGTAGGTTATGCAATATATATGGTATGGTTAAAAAAGGACAACATTAAGCTCAGACTAGAGTTTAAATCCAAAGCTGAAAAAGTTAGCTCACGTAAGTAGCGTAGGATGCCATTTCCATGGCAGATCGGGCACGGACGGGAGATAAAGCAGGATTTGAAGGCATTTTATTTTTCAGGAAAAATACGTTATTAACCTTATACACATTATAGTTTATTCTACTTACTCTGCTTTGGGAGGGAAAGACATAATCTAGGTATCTTTTACTGAATTAAATCATGGGTGACCCGGGTGTATATCTGGTTGGGCATCCGCAAATGAGCTGATGGTACAGATCGTGCTTCCATGACGGATTGGGTAGTGACACTGCATCCTCCAAAGGCCAGATTCCTGGCTGAGTATATCATAGCGCAGCACCGAGGCCTTTTCAGACTGGATGACTTCTTGGTTGTGTTTGATTGTCCAAGGACCCGGTGTACCTGAGCCGGATCCTTCAAAGTCAGGGAAAATAAGGAGGCCAGAAGAGTTTGGCTATCGATTCAAACTAGAGATGTCCCGATTTAGGTGTTTGCACTTCCGATCCGATACCGATACTGGCCGATACCAGCCTATCCAAGCATGTTTTTAAGTTTAAGTTAAAGTATTTAGCCTTAGTTGTAAGACTCATGTTGAAAAAGGTTTTAGTACTCTTGCTAACATCTACCCAGCTGAACTGGTGAGATTGAATAAAACACAATGATTGGTAACAACAAGCTTAACTGTTTATTAAGAGATAAACACAAACTGGACAAAATTATGAATAGCAATCTGAAATTGCACAGTGAACAGTAAAACCGTAAACAGTTAAAGTATTACTGTAAGTTTCAATAAAAAAGCAAAACAGACAAGAGTGGAAAATAGTCTATCAACTTAGAATCAGGACTCTACTCTTGAAAAAAGACACTCCTTAAAAAAAAAACAGTGCAAATAATAGTGAACGATTACACAAAAATGCCTTATACTCCCAATCTCCTCACACACACTCCCTTTAACTGTTTGCCCTGACTGCTGTCCAAGCATGATGGGGAGATTCTTTTTTACAAAGATGAGCATTTCAAGATTCTCTGGTGTCAGCCTGCTCCTGTGTTCATCAATGTTGAGTGAGACTGCGCTAAAAAGCCTTTTGCTTTCAACGCTGGTGCAGGGAGCACTGAGAAACTTGGCTGCTGTTGCTGCCAGGGTGGGTAGTCGAGCCTGATTTTCTCTCCAGTAGTTAAAAGGATTGTTCTTACTAGGGATGCATGATATAATCGGCCCCCTATCGGTATCGGCCTGTATCGGCCTTAAAACTGAATATCGGACATCGGCCACCGATATTTGATCAGCTTCTGAGTTTCTAAAGTCTAAAAAAAAAAAAATACTACTACTTCTTCCTCAAAAACTTCTTTTTTACAGACTTAAAAACTTCTAAAGACGAGGGAAAAAATATTGATACATTAAAATATCCCAATATCTTCATATGCTGATATATTGCCATTTAAAAACACCATATCAATCTCTATTACTAATGAAATGTTGCTATATGTCATCGTTATGCTGCGAAATCCCCCCAAATTCCTCAAATTTTGCCATATTTTTATATGTTGATATATTGACGCGGTATCGATCTATTTTACTAACAAAATCTCACAAGAATTTGCAAAATATCACGAGAGTTTGTAACAGAACGATTAAATTTCATGAGATTTTGAAAGTAAAATAGATCGATACGCGTTTTTAAAAATCAATTTGATATCACCATATGAAAATATATTTGAGTATATTATTTTTCAAAGTGTCAGAAATGGATAACAAAACTGCTATTTTCAATGACTACTTATTTTTGTCCAGCTTTAACATCGGTATCGATATCGGTAATCGGCTACATGAGTTTTAAAATGTCGGCATATCGGATATCGGCCAAAATCCCAATATCGTGCATCCCTAGTTCTTACGCCCAAGTGGAGGCTCACTGAGGTAGCTCTCCAACTGAAACAGTGCCCCTGGGGTGATCTGCTGCTCAGACGGACTTGCTGTGTAGTTCTCTTGCAGTATCTCGTCAAAGTAGCAGCCCAGGCTGCTGGTTGAGCTTCCAGCCTCCATTCCTGGTGGTTGCTTTGCTGTCTCAGCTTCAGCCACACCTTCTCTAGAGGGCATGGTCTTCAGCTCTTGTTCCATTTTCATCACCTCTACTTTTACTGCCTCCTTTGCCTGATCCAGGTTGGTAGCAGTGAAG